TGTTTAAATTATTCTCTTTTGTTGTTGTCTCATTAGTGCCATGCCCTACCGGTTGGACAACCTACCAAGGATCTCCATCTTGCTACAAAAAGCCAAATCACTTAGCTAACAGTTGGTACGTGGCCCGCAAAGTATGTCTGGCCTTAGGAGGCGACCTTGTAACGCTYTCTTCAAAACAAGAAAACAACTTTGTGGCATTGCTCTCCCACACATATTTTCCGACTTCTTATAGCGCATGGATTGGTATGATTGCTGGTACGTAATATCGTTCGTTTTATTCGTTTGTTCATTTCTTTCTTTTTCTTACCCATTCATTCATTTTTTCACTCTTTCATTCATACCTTGTTTTCGGTTGTTTGTTCAACAGAGRAATTGAAAGGCAATAAACAGGGGAAATTCCACTGGGTTGATGGTAGGCCGATTGGTCAGTACTTGAATTGGCACACCGGTGAACCAAATAATGATGACCTTCGTGGTAATCCTGAATACTGTGGTTCCATCATTATATAAAAAAGTCATCCTGGAATGAAATGGAATGATTTGAAGTGTGTTGTCACTTCAAAATTACCTTTTGTGTGTGAAAGAGAGAGAGCCAAACGTTTCATTGGGTATTAATTTTGACTCAAGAATTAAATGTAATAAGGTTCTCTGACAGCAAAACACAAATGGAAATGTAACTGGATAACACGGGAAGAAAATAAATTAAAAGGGATTAAATCACGAATATGTAATCTATATCAAAGAGCTTCCGTATAGTTTGTTGTTCACGATGGCAGATTTTATTTTATTTTTTTGAAAAACGTGTCAGTAACATTCCTATATTATTTCTCGATTCGTGATTGGTTGAAAATGACGCGAGCGCGCATTGTTTTCAAGTCGCCAGCGTGCGCTCGCCTCATTAGTCAAGAAAATCATACTTTTATTACATACATTTACACAAATTACACAAATTTTTTCACACATTTTCGTTTTCAAAAAGGTTGTGTGCTAGGTTGTGTGCTAAACCTTCTTCTTTTTTGTCATTCTAAAAATCAGAAACAAAAATTGACCTCATATGCGTTTTTTGACAAATAGTGGGGGACGACGGCAATTTTTTTCTTTTTCCACCCCTAATGCATTCTGGGTCAACACAGGTATCCCAAAAAACTATTAAATTTTGTGATCGCGAGATAATAAAAGGTACGATTCCGATACACTGGGCTCGACACTGATCGATGACCAGATGTAAAAAAACCACCGCAGTAATTGAAGTAGGCATAAAAAGACTGAAGTCCATTGTTTAACCCTGTTAAATTGATCACGACCAAGTCTGACAACTGATTTTCCGCTTGACACTCAGTCAGGACACACTTACGTTCACTTTTGAAACCTTAAACAAAGTCTCAACTTTCCGAATGGCCAAGAAAAYATTCTTGCTGCTCTTCCTGGTTCTGATGACCAACGTGATGTCGTTTGCGCAAAATTTGCCTTTGGCCAAGGGATCATATCGTAAGTATTGACTTTTTTCCAGTTAACATTGTGACTCATTGAGCTATAATTATGTAGAAATCATGCTCATCGAATGCCGGTAGATAGATCTATTGAATGAAAATCGAGTTTCTTAAATTTACGTACAATTATTAAGGTATATTATGAACCATAGGTATGTACGCAGTATGGGGTCCGCATTATGCTCGGTAGCGCGAAGGAGRTATGCTCTTCGCAGACACAACCGGAAAACGACTGCGAGAAGTCTACGAAGGGGAAGGTTCGAGCACCAAACATTCCAAATTTTTCATAAATCCTTGAAACAAAATATAATATATTAAGTGTAATAATGTGTGATACAGTGAAAAGACAAAGAAAAACGTGCCAAATAAAGAGTAATAAAGTTTTTGTATTTCACGAGTCACTATACTGTTAAATTGTGAAGAACTCCGAAGGTACGCTAAGACGTAGGTAACGGCACTCTTTTAAGAAGATCAAAAAAGAAAATATTTCAAATGGTATCAAACTGAAACAAATGCATAAACTCTAATTTATACATAGAAAAAAAAATCACTGTCGATCTAGCTGTTTTTTGTGGCTACAGACGGTCGTCTGACAAAGAATGAGGCAATACKTTCGTCCGTGAGAAACTGTTGTCGGAACAATGTCTGTTTCGGATGACTTTCGGAGATCTATAATAATCTGATTCTTTCGATTTCTGCGATTTTTAAAAGCCTTGATTCATTTTCATATAATTCATGGAATAAAAGAATTATAAAAGAAATATTATTTTCCATGACGTCATATTACAAATTTCGGAGTTCATAAAAAACTACATGAATACAAGAGTTTTTATCGTTAAATTAATACTTAAAGAATATTGTTCAACTTTTTGTTGATGTGTCATTAGTACCATGCCCCACTGGCTGGAATACCTACGCAGGATCTCCATCCTGTTATATAGTGCCAAAACCAACCAAAAGATGGCACATGGCCCGCAAAGTATGTCTGGCCTATGGGGGCGACCTTGTAACGCTTTCTTCAGAACAAGAGAACAACTTTGTGGCATTGCTCTCCCACACATATTTTCCGGCTTCTTACAGCATATGGATTGGGATGATTGCTGGTACGTGATCTCGCTCATTGATTCGTTCATGCATTTATTCTTTTTCTTGTCATTCTTTCATTTTGATACCTTGATATTTGATATTTATTCAACAGAGGAACTACCGGGCAAAAAACAGGGGAAATTCCACTGGGTTGACGGTACAACAATTGGTCAGTATTCGAATTGGTACACCGGTGAACCAAATAATCATGACCAACTTGGTAATCCTGAATACTGTGGTTCTATAAACATATTAAAAAGTCGTCGGGGAATGAAATGGAATGATATGAAGTGTGTTTACACTTCAAAATTACCTTTTGTGTGTGAAACAGAGAGAGCCAAACGTGCTTAGAAAAATGTTTTAAGCTTCTCTGATAACAAACACAATGAAAATGTAACTAGATAACACCAGATTAGAAAGCAATAAAAATGAAATCATGAATACTGCTTTTATTTATTTCATGTACCATTTTAGCTCCTTCCTATCCGACTATGCAAATTAAGGACTCATATGACCTCTGCTTTCATAAAAAGTAATGGCTTCTCAAAATCTAAAACATTATCCAACAAGACACCTAGTAAATAGAATGAAACCTGGAGCACAAAAAATTACACACCAACGAGAAAATCTGGGGAAAAAACGGTCCTTGCTTTCAAGGAAATGCCACCATTTGAATTTTGCACTAGTTTGGATAGTGGTGAGAAACACTCAATTTCGTGTGCCAAAATGCATTTTCCAAGCAAATAGTCAATTTACTTTGAAGACCCCCACCCTAGAACATTCATGTCTCTCTATACTGCATCAAAGTCTATACAGATTCAGAAAAAGCTCTGTTATAAGGACCCAGTCCATGAAGCTCGCACGCACGACCGAAGAGCATTATAGGAAGACTATATAATTTCGACATGAAGTATGTAGGATTCTCGTTTTCTAACATTTTTTATAAGTGCTGGGTCACTCGCRCCTACAGGCAAAATATTGCACCGTTTGCTTTCCTTGGTTGTTAAAACTTGCCAAATTTACCTTGGTAGGCTAGGAAATCTGCCACAGAAAAAACTAGAGAAGCGACATTACGAGGGRGATTTTTTTCACATMCCACTTTCTTGAGAAATTTGAACCAATGAGGTGCTACTTTCAACACCTTTGTTTTTTTTCAAAGATTTTYGGRAGAACATGGCCGGTTATTTAACTACCTGCTATAGTGAACAACCAACTACAGAAAGTTMTTTGATTATATAGATTGCTTATTCTCGTGTTTGCGGACCGTGAAAAAAACTTATGCTTGTCTAAAGCATGGTTAGTGGACTAAATGCTTAAAGATCGTCAGAAGTTAAATGTAAGTTGAGATGGAATAAAAACCTTTATTATATAGAACCACGACCGATCGAAAGATACAAAGAAAATTCCAGTAGTAGCCGGGTAGGTCAAGCAGTTTGCTTGTACTAATAAAGTTTTTTTTAATTGTAGTATCCAATGAGATTGAGTGTCTTGTACGTTATCAAAATAATTCAAGCAAACGAAACGGAGGATTCAAATAACGATAAAGTAATGCAAAGTATGTTTTTACTCAGTTGCGCGATTTAGCTTGGAAAACATCAGTTCAAGAGCAGTGTCAATATGTTTTCCCACCCTGTAGGTTTTAGTTCTGAGTGTCCATGTCGATTTACAATATAACTCGATCCARCCACTAGAAATGAATCGGAGAATTCGTATCAGAAAAGCTCTAAAGCTACTTATTTCAGTTTGCTGTKTATGTCTTCTTGGTCAAGTTTTTTTGATGGACAAATGGATTGCACTTCACGCGAAAGAGTGTGAAAATCCAGGTAAGTTGAATTAGGGCAATTGAATACGCGTGTAGAAGAGCTATTGTTTRAATACAAAGTCACAAATACGCGAAAACGATCTAAAACTAATCGATCTTTTGTCGTCTCACACGTCTCACGGAATTTTGATGAGCTGTCATATTGAGTTTCACAGCTTGCTGTCAAAACGTTATATAAACTAAAATTTCATCGATTTAAACACCAGCTCCGAAAGGTGTAAAACAGGAACTGTGATTTGCCTGTTTTTAATGGAGTTTTTTTAATTGAAAAAATGGGATTTTACTGTGTACTGAGAGTGGGATTAAATGCTAGAAAACAATGTAAAAATGGAAATGTGATTATCAGAATTGATTATTATAGAATATTAAGAATATTGATTTGATGGCTGRTTTTTTACTTGCATTCCATGGAATCTGTTTRTACAKTAKGGCTGCCTTAACCTGGCAAGGAAACTACTATAAGTGCTGCCTTTCCSGGCTGAAAATATCAATACATTTGGGTAGTTTATAWTGAAGTGCGACCGTGCTACYTAACAAGACRAATTTGAATACTTRAAATTTATTCCAGGTCCTCTTTGTACCTTGAAGAAACGGATGGTGAATACAGTTGCTTTGCGTCGCACAAAAGAAATAGAATCAAATAATGAAAGAATATTAACAGTGACTTCAGCAAAAAGTATCTTACTTCAACAGTCGATAATTACTTCTCCATTGGGATATTACGAGAACACATTTACAGACGCTGCAACAACAACAACGTTGTCGCTATCTAATGCAACACTTATAGCCACAGGAATGGTAACAAAGGTTGATAATAGAGTCTCCAACGCAACAGGAGCAACAGCAACAAGATCAACACAAAAGTCGTCGTTATTATTAGCATCAGCAATGTTATTGACATCGATGTCAGCCGTCAAAGACGATGTGCAGGTATCAACAATGACTTCATCAACATCATGGACAACACCAGGAATAACTAAAGCAGTAATGCCAACTAAATCAGCAGCAAATACAACAAAAACATTAAAGACAACAACAAAAGCAGCAGCAGCAACGACAGCGACAACAACAGCAACAACTGCAGCAGCAACAATAGTAGAAACAAAGACAACAGCAAGTACAACAGCATCAGCAACAACAACTGCAACAGCAGCAGCAACAATAACCACAAAARCACCACCCAMAGCAACAACAACACCAAAGTCAACGAAGAGTCAGACCAAGCTCAAGGAAAGAGTTCTTGTCATAGGAGTACCAACAGTAGGTCGCATCAACGCTTTCTACACCATAAACACTCTGAAAGAACTCGTCAATGGTCTGGACGAGGAAGATAAAAACCATGTGCTAATTATCGTCTTCACAGCCGACTTAAACAAACATGTAAACACCTACGTGAAACAACAGATACAGACAACATTCCCACGAGAGATGGATCATCTCATTCGATGCATTCAAGCTCCACGTTCGTATTATAAGAAACTCCACTTCCCTTCGCTGTGGGGACATGATAAAGACATGTCTTACTGGCTAGGGAAGCAGAATTTAGATATTGCTTTTTTACTGAAGCATTGCAAGACATTAGGCAATTATCATTACTACCTTCATCTTGCAGACGATGTATCMACACAGCCGGGTTATTTTAAAACCATTATGACTTTTATTAATAAAACTGGKAACTGGTCTGGACTGGAGTTCGGTAGCCAAGGATCCTTTGGACTGCTGTATAGAGCGAGTCATCTACATAACCTKTACAAGTTCATGTCAATATTCTACCAGTTGTATCCAGCTGATATTCTTTTCAAACAGTTCAATGAATTCCACCTSTATGGTAACGCACCGTGGATGAARCRCRACCCCCCCGTATTTCGACAYGTGGGTGTCGTCTCTTCTTTTCAAGGTCGAAGATCTGRCCAAGTGAGTCATCGCGTTCCTGGCCATCAACCTTTCAGTTTCCCTCCTGTTAAAGTCATCAATAATACACAAACGAAACCCAACAATACAGGTAAAAGATTTTAAGTAYATATGGCGCAAATAATCAAAGAACTTATTCTCATTATCCACAATGCTCCGTTCGCCTAATGACGTCATGCACTRTTCGKMGAAATGCATTATGGGACTGACGAAAGTCATAAACGGAAGCCATGTTGTTGCTTCAGRTTTTYATGCGAAGAACAAGCATTACGGAGCCCAGACAGGTCTTTGAGTATACTCTAGTGCTCGAGAATCTTATGTACCATTCTTTTGTATGTATTATTCTCGAAAATAACTTAAGTTTCACGGAGAAACTTCGTTCTTTGTAGAGTTTAAAAGTATCCGCCATTTTGATAATTTTATCAATACCATGGTGCATTTCGCCAAAACACATGACGTCATTAGCTGAGAAGACCCGATTAACAAACAACCATGTTTTACAGGTTATTTTTTAGTGATTGGTGTCCCAACAGTGATGAGAAGGAAAGAAAATTACCTCATTCGTACATTGCGTGGTTTAGTAGACGGGCTCCGAGAGTCGGAAAAGCAGCAAGTTTTAATTCTTTTATTCTTATCTGATCTCGAAAAAGAAGCAATACAAAAGACAACACGTMAAGTAAATGCTGGGTTTTCTAAAGAACTCAAAACAGGTTTAATAAAAATCATCAAAGCACCTCTCTCGTACTACCCAAGGCTTGTAGGTCTMCCGYTGCTGTGGGGYGACAAGCCCAAAAGGGTAAAATGGCGTTCCAAGCAGGTCTTAGACTATGCTTTCTTATTCAATCACGTTTATAGCAATCAGTCCGCTARATATTACTTGCACATAGAAGACGATATAATTGTCAATAAAGGATATTTCAAAGAGATCAGGAAATTCATTCATGCRAACAAAGAACGTAATTGGTCTGTGCTGGAATTCGCAAAGACTTATGGATTCATTGGCTGGCTTTACAAGTCGAGTGATCTGAAAAAGTTAGCACAGTTTCTTAGGACATATTACTGGGCATGGCCCGTGGATATCTTGTCTCGTCATTTTAACGAGTTCCACTTGTATGGAAATCCACTTTGGGCGCTTCATTATCCCAGGTTGTTCAATCATGGCGGGCGGGAGTCTTCTCTTGATGGTGTGAAAAGAAAGGCAAGAAAATTCCCCAAAACGAACATACGTAAACGTCAAGTTAACAACAATTCGAAATTCAATCCAGAAGCCTTAGTAACTACGTCTATTAAGCCTGCAATGACGAAATATTATGATATTTCAMGGACATAYGGAGGGAAAAAACTACAAGATGCATTCTGGGGAAAAGATCTTAGTAAAGGAGACTATATCATGGTAGCCTTCGCTAAAAAGGTGAACATCACTAAAATCTCTGTCATTTCGGGAGGAAWACTCGGAGATATGGACTTCTTCGGTGGTGCAAATATCTTATATGCTGAGGACCAAGACTGCGATGACTTTGAGCMTTGGAAATCCTTCAAAGAGCAAAGAAACTTAACTGTTGTTAGCGAAAATCCTCATGGAATKCCGTGCTGGTGTGTCAACATAGAAGTGACYGCTGTCCGTAARGACGACAAAAASCRAACGCGATGGCTATTTATACAAAARATAGACGTGTGGACCCTTTGGTAGTTGAAGAAGAAATGTGAAAAAGGAAAGAGAGGGAAAGACTAGAGAATGGAAGAAAGTAGGATGAAAAAAATCGACAAGGGAAAAGGAAAAGTGAAGAGTGAGATAAAAGCGATATAGAAGGAAAGAGAGAATGATAAGAGGAGAAGGGAAATAAGAAGAAGGGAAGATAGGGAAATGGGAAAAAGGAAAATAGGGAAATAGGAAGAAGGGAGATAGGGAAGAATCAAAATGGAGAAGAATAGAGTGACGTCGCGGAAAGACTTAGACAGGAGAAAAAGTGGAAAAGTGGAAATGTTCGTGAGACAAGAGGAGAACAGAAAAAAAGTAAAATATTAAGAGCCCAGCACCGCTTTCCGTTTGTAGTGCTATTAACAACAGCAATTACACTTCACCTTTTCTCACAGGTCGTCACATTTTCGTAGTTTGATGACATTGTTTCTGACCATAAGAYACTGCTTCAGTCTTTAATTAACATCTTGTGTTTATTTACTGCTTGACATATCAGGTGTATTTCTCATAGGCCCTCAATTCCTATCAAAGCTAAGTAAACGATCTTTTATCATATAAATACACTCTTATTCCTGTCACTTTATTTTCCCTGTATTTTATCTRTTTTTTATTTAAGTTTCCGCTGAACTTCGCAAAGATTTGCTCAGCATCTTGTATACATCCGTTGAAATTAGTGAATAAGAATCCTTCATAAGCGACTATACAACAGCGTTAATTATTTTATCATCAGGAATTCTTCGAGCATTCTCAACTTTACAAAACACTTAAATCTATTCTCTGCATCTAGAAATGAACCATGATGCATTGGTTTTAAATTGATAACATTACTATTATTTTGTATTATAAAGACGGAGTATTTTTGTTGATCACAATGCGCTCGTTTATCATAAAAATCTTTGTTATGCTGTGTGCTTACATCGTAGAAGAACTCAGAACATGCCAGGAGGGAAGGGACTGGTACTTACTTCGAGTCGGCAAATGCGCGCTTCRAAACTTGTCAAACAGAACAAAGAAAACCGAAAGCTTATCTTTAATATATATATTATTCTTTTAATTCTTTTAATGTTTCATTAGAATCAAATAAGTCGTCTTATAACTGTTGTAAACAAGCCTTAACAGGCATCTTTGAGACAAAATAAAGAAACGGAAAGCAGCTGTATTTGAGGTGTTTTCTTACAAGAACCTATCAAAATCCACATCGTTTTTTGTCTTGTCAAATTGCAAGCAAACTTAATCCCTCTCTCTAAAAATAAAAGTCAATTATAACAACACAGGTCGTTTGCACAGCACGACTTGCATTGACAGACTCGGAAGATGRACTGCTGCAAAGAACCGATGAGGTAAACACAACCAAGTGACAAGAGAGGTTTTACACTACTTTTATCTCGTTGGCGTGCGATTGGATGCAACTTTGGACTSCGAGGTAAGAAAAACATCAAGTAAGGTTCAATTAAACTAAAACTAGAAAATTCAAATGAAAAGTTGGTGTTTATGATCCTTGGAGAGATTGAAAAGAAACGCGAATTAAAAAGCTTTTTTTTCCTTGTCTTGGAGCCAATATTTCTGCCGGCGGTTCTCTATTATGCGAAAGAAATGATAGCATATGTTACAACTGTTTTCATTAGGTCCTTTTTGAATAATTCTTTGTTAAGAAGAATAATAATAACCAGAGAATTATTCAAAAGACTCTAAAASTAAAATATTACCTCAAATCGTTCGATATCGAAGGTGCTTTGCAGATTAGATTATGAAACAAAAAATATATGCAAAAAAAAACGACTTCACATCACACGATTTTTGATCAAATCGTATCACAAAGTAGATTAGATCCAGATCAGTGACTTTAAGAAAATCTAAACACATATAGATTAATAAAAAAAAGAACAACTCATATTATGAAAACATTTAATAAAAAGTTTTAGGTGAAATACACATCAAAACATTTATTGGCCGAATGCAAAATTTGCGAAACAACGAGTTTCGGTTACCCCAGATTTTTGTTCAAAAGCGGGATATTTTACGGTTTGTGGACTCAAAACATAATATYAAAGATTGAATGCGAGTTAAATCCCACGACTCAGAACTTCCGTCAATATCTTCTTTTATGTCTGAACCGTTCAAAACTCAAAACGGATCTTAAACCTAACTTTGGGAAATGATTATCAAAAGAAAAATATCAAATGATTAATATATTTTTCACTTCCATTTGATTTCCTTTGATATTTGACAATTTAATCTTTATTTCATATAATAACAAGAATCCGAACTATAGGTAAATAAAGATTTTCCTTTTGTAAACTGCCACAAAATTAAGCTTTTTATTGTTGTACTATTTTTAATTTACCTCAGTCTTTCAATATTAACCGCGTATAAAGTAATGTATTTTAGATAACACTTATATATTCTCTTTACTCCGACGAAGGATTAACGTCCGAAACGTCAGTATATTTTCACCTATTTTTCTTACGGTAATCAACGCGTAACGGAAATAGTGTTACGCGTTGATCCAAACGCTACGACGATCCAAACGCTAGCACTTTGGACGGTTTCTTACGTAAAATGACTTAACAAGTTGTTTTAAAAGAACGTGTACGTGTAATTGGCGAAGAAAGGTGAATAGAAAGTTAGTTTCTTCATGAGATACTAGTTTACATCACATGAACGGATGTTTTCAAACTTCACAACATAGTGCAGCTTTCTGAACAGTCAAAACGTTTCCCAGAACCCTGGTCAGTATAAATGAAGACGACGGAACTGAAGACCGATGATATTGACGAACGGAACAAAGGTTATTTGCATTTGATTAGAATTATAGCGAGGATCGTTTTCATCATTTCGATTAGAAATTTATCGACCATTAGTTTTTGTCATATGCCTGCGTAAGTAAAAATAGATGAGATCTATTTACAAAGAAAAGAAAATAGCACAGAAAACAAATTAAAGAGAAGAGAAGAGAAGAGAAGAGAAGAGAAGAGAAGAGAAGAGAAGAGAAGAGAAGAGAAGAGAAGAGAAGAGAAGAGAAGAGAAGAGAAGAGAAGAGAAGAGAAGAGAAGAGAAGAGAAGAGAAGAGAAGAGAAGAGAAGAGAAGAGAAGAGAAGAGAAGAGAAGAGAAGA